GGGGGGGGGGGGGAAGAGAGAAATGGCTTAATGAAGAACTTAATTTTTTGAACTTTTCAAAAATATTATTAGTTATCTAATCAAGGAGACTGATATAGGCAGGTCATATAGAACGAATGAAGAGGTGAGAAATGTATACAAAGTGTTATTCTAAATACCCGAATCCTACTGTTGGCGTTAAAGTATTCTTTCCAATGCTTCGTTTTCATCCATCCTCAAAACGATGTAGCCTTCTGAAAAATCAGGTTGCAATATATGTAAAAAGAACAGTTTGTAAAGTCTCAAATAAGATTTGATATTTCCACTTTTTTCATCAATAGGGATGGGGGACAGATTGTCATTTTTACCTCAGTCTCCTTACTGAATCCACAACCATAATGCACGATTTGATGTTTTCACGGCGGTGATCCCGAAGATGGTTGGTTTTCTTTGGGTTGTAGCGCGGTGTAGTGTGATAGAAATTTACCAGCGTTTCAGAGGTCCTTGCTGTCTCATCATCGCCATGAGGATGGAGGCAGCAAGGACCTCTGACGCTAGTCGCTGCACGGCGATAAACTTTTGTCAGACTACACCACTCTACATCTCAGATGGCAATCGTCTTCTTCAGTCATAATAGTTAAAAATATATATTACCGATATTTTTCTAGGTTTTCTCGAGTATCTGCCGACAGTAATCTGAAGCAGAGTTGTGACTGAAATGTGTATTACTGTGACAGTCAAATTCTATGGTAGCGTCTTAACACGAGTCAGTATCTCTTTCTCCCTAATAACAGCACATAATTCTGCTTTCAGCTCAAGTAAACCGCTTTAGGTGGGGAATATAATATTAAAAAGAATCATGATTAAATGCGGTATGAAAGTGTGGACTAGATTAAATTGGCTGAGGATACCATCTGTTTCCTGGACATTTCTTAGCTAGCTAAACAACTTTCAGTTTCTTAAGAGGAACTCCGCTCCAAGAACTTAGTTTTGAATGCATTCTTAAAATGGTACGTATTTTCTGTTGCAGATCTTTGTTTGCCTAGTAGCAATCGGCGTGGCACATGCCAGGCCTGGCTTCCTCCACGGTGGTCTGAGTAGCGTGGCCTACTCAGCTCCCGCAGTGTTGGCAGGTCCGGTGGCCGTATCCAGCCAGTACCACGCACAAGACGCCCTCGGACAGTACAGCTACGGATACTCTGGCGGTCCCAGCTCCAAAGTGGAGACCAAGACTGCTGACGGCATCACGCGAGGTGGCTACTCCTATATCGACTCGAACGGCGCCACTAACCTTCCCGTTCACTCTCCAACTCCAGTCCTTGACACCCCCGAGGTGGCCTCAGCCAAAGCCAGACATGCCGCTGCTTACAACGA